ATTTGACCCTTAACCCAATCTCTCCTCAAGAACCAGCCTCCTGTAATGACTGGGTGCACAAACTGCTCGCTCTCTCTCTGTCTATATATATAAATAAATACATGGTGTCGGCAACTGCGTTGGGGCAATCCAGCCATTACGGTCGGGAAAATCGCAGCGGATGGCTCGGGCTCAGCACGGCATGCAACCCGAGCTCGCCCCGAGTTAGCGTAATCGATCGCCGCGGCCAGGGAGGCAGCTAGTCGGTCCCAGCCCGCCGCTGTCGAGGGGGAAGCCGGGCTCGAAAGAGCAATTCTCCCCCTTTCCTTGGAAGCCCTGCGAGCCCCGGGCCGTTCAGGGCAGAGGATCCCACCAGGAACCTGATCTTCCTCCTTTTGTCTCGGCTGGAGCTGCTGCTGCGGTGCGCTGCATGCCGTCCATCCGTCGCTCTCGCCCAACCCCGAAGGAAGGCTCCCCGGCTCCCTTCTCCGACTCACCCTTTATAGTAAGCCTTGACGCGGACCTGATGGGCGCTGTCGCCTCCGGGGCCACCAAGGCCACCGATCCCGCCGCCGCCGCCGCTGCCTCCCGGGCCCGGGTGCGACATGCTCGTGCCGCCGCCGCCGCCGCTGTTGCTGCCGCTCTCGCGCTGAGTCGGCATCGCCCCTCCGCCGTGCCTCGCCGCGCTTCGCCCGGCCCCGCCCGCCCGTCCGCCTCCCTGGCGGCCCCACCCCGGACCTGCACAGAGGGGGGGGTGGAAATGAAGGAAGGAGGGAGGACTGTACGTGCGTGCGTCCCCTCCTACGCCTCCCCCCCCAAAGCGGCAGCCGCCGCTGTAACGGATGCCCGGATCCGACCGCTCCGCTTTCCCCCTCCTCTCCCACCCGCGCCGAGGTCGCGCGCTGGAGGCGAGCCTGCGCGGGCAGGTACGTCCCTTCGGCGAACGCGCCAAAGTCGCGGAGCGGAAGGGAGAAGCAGCAGAGGAGGGGCGCTCGGGCGGGCTGTGTGGAGCGAACCACTTCGCGGAGCGTAGAGGGGAGCGAAGGGCGCAAAGAACCAGGCGGAGAGATGGGGGGGGAGGCTTAAGATCGTCTGAAGCCGAGAGGCCGCACGGATGAATTCTCAGATGCGTTGTTTTCATAAGCCCGAAGGACGCCAAATTCTTTCCTTCGAGGAAATAGGCTGAATGGCTTGTCAGCATTTTTTGCAGTCCCCCCTTTTTCTGTCTGCGCACCTGACGAATAAGATCATAGAGAGGAGGCTTTGGCGTACCGTACTCAAACCTAGCATTGCTGAAAGCAAAAGAGAGTAGAACCTGCGGCTTCCGTTCGTCACAGCTTACGAAACTAAAGCGTGGTGTAAAGCTGTGCTGTATGTTATTGGTACAAACTGGGCATTTCTAAAGTGGGAATACTACAAATCGCAGAATGCATAGAAGTCTTCAAAGTATGGATCAGTGCACTGCAGAGATTGTGCAAACGGGCATCGATTTCTGTCTTGTACTTACAGTACTTCTCACATTTCTGTACTTCCACAAAACTGTAATATTTTTGTAGAGAAATTAAGCTGTGATACGTGAGCTGTAGAAGGTGCATGATCTTTAAAACATGGGAGCGTGATTTACTGAAAAACAAAGGTTGCTTCTGCATGAGAATATAGATTTTAGTCGTGGAATTTTTCATTGTCCGTTTAGTCATGGAATTAATGGAATTTAGACCCGTTTAGAGTTCCAGATGTTGAAATTCACCTTATTTTTCCTACTGGTTCCATGTTTTGTTTTTCATTGGGAGGAAAAAAAGAAAGAATATTAGCACATTGACTTTTAGCATCATGGGGAGACATCCTTCTGGCAGCATCCTGTAATAAGGTTGCTGAACATGCTAGACTACTAAACCAAAATGGGATTAGATTGTTTAGTTCCATGTACTGTGGAAACTCAGCCATTATCTCAGCATATTGTAAACACCTGTCTATGAGCTTTAAACCACAACCTGGTTTTAGTAAATTATGATATATATTGAAGCAGAGTAGTATATTTGGTAAACCTATTTGTTTTACTAGTTGTTTGAGTCCAGCAATGAAAGTTCTGAACAAAATCTTTAAATACTGTGATTTATCTGTGTCTAAAATTATTAGAATAGTGCATACATTAGTATTGCTTGTAGCACTCTGTGAATGCAAAAATTGGATTTTGAAGAGCCAGACAAAAAATATTGATGCTTTAGAAGTTTGATGTTGGAGAAGATTCATGAGAATACTATTGATAGCCAGGGAAACAAATAGTTTCTAAAATAAATGAATACAGACTTATTACTTGAGGAACAATTGATAAGGCTCAATCATATTTTGGGAAAATACAGATCTCTTGAGAAATCCATAATGATGGGAAAAAAGAAGAAAAAAAGAGGATGATCAGCAGCAAGATGAATGAACTGCATTATAACAGAAATGGATGCACACATTACAAGACATAAAAAGCCAATTTGAGGATAAATCATTCTAGAGGAAAGTCATATCTGTATGGTCACTGAGACTTGACATTGACTTGGCAGTGCATAATTTGCTTTAAATAAATAAATTTTCATGGTTCAGATTAGAGGGCAAATACCAAGCTGTGTATCATCATCTGTGTATTTGTGGTATCATGACCTGCACTGACATTACCTTTCTCATTGATTTCTTACAGATGTTAATACTGGAGAGAGGATCAAATACATGATCACCCATTAGGTTGCCCGCTATTTCCCCACTGATACTAGAACCCACTTAAGAAACAGTGGGCAGCTGAAGCACATTGCTCTTAACAAGTCTTAAAAATTGGTCAGAGGATACCATAGTTGATACCGTAGTATTCACATGCCTCTAAGTCAGGAGTCTCAAACTGCCGTCCCGCAGGCTGAACGCATCATCCGGAAGCTGCGCCCACCCCATTGCTGACAATGGCAAAACCATCCCGATAACGTTGTGCGATGTCATGTGACGTCACGAGTTTGACATGTCTGCCTAAGTAGTCAAAGGATAACTGGAGGGGTGCACTCTTCCAATGAGATCCCAACAAAGATTATCCACAAGGGTGACCCATTCCTGGCTGTCCCATGCCCAAGTCTTAAAAATAATCCAGACAATGTTTCTTCCAGAGCACTCTGTGGCTGACTCCACACCACATTCTTGACAACCTTCCCTAAATAGGGTGAGAGACTAGGCAACAGTAGGTATCTCCTTCACAGCGGGTGGTAACACCCCTCAAAGAAGCATCGCCACCTTTTGAATGGATCCTGTTAGTCTCCCTACTATCCTAAAGGAATCAAGAAAAGCATCATTTGAGCCTAAATGGTAGGGGGCACACTGGAGAGCTTCCTCTCTGCAGGCCCCAAAGAGTTGCAGATAACATTACAAGAGGCTGTTCCAGGCATCACATCAGATTCTGCTCATGAAAGCCAGTGTGAAGATTAAGATATTGTATTGCGCATAAAAACTCAGGCATACAAGTTGGTGTGGAGCTGAAAAGAACATATCCCCTGCCCCCGAATTTGAAAGAAACACAATATCTTTGCAAAGTAATTTTAGCTCCCTGATAATACAAACTACAAGAACTTCAGGTAAAACAAAAACGTGTTTACAATATTAAGGAAAGTCAAGGCTTATTATAAAGTACAGAAACAAATGATTATATACATTTAGTGTATATTAAAAAAGCAACAAATCATTGATGGGCAATAAAAGCTTTGTTTTTATTAAATGTGAGAAAAGACATCTTTAGATAAAATTCCTCAAGTGACAAATGTGTATGTCTAGAGATAGCTGTGGGTTGTAGGAACCTCTTTTATCTTTTGTAAAATATGTAGCACTTCCTTCTTTCCCAGCCAGGTTCGTTTCTTTCTTCGCTTTGATCAAGGACTTTTGAATACTGTCCTATTGTTTATTGCTGAGAAAGCTAGTTTTTGCACATCAAAGGAAATTGCTTTGACTCCAAGCAAAACATGCTTTCCTAAACTTAAACCCTAAAATTCTACATAACAGTTGGACTAGGAGCAGGAACACTCCCTCAAATCCAGTGTTTCCCAATCTTAACAACTTTAAGATGTGTGGACTCAATTAATCTAAATAGAACTAAATCCTCAGCTACAATGTAAATCTCAACAAAAATTGTAGTAGTTTAAAGAGCACTTAAGAGCCAGTTTGGTATAGTGCTTAAGTCATTCAGCTAGAAATCAGGAAATCCTGAGGTCTAGTCCTGTCTTAGGCACAAAGCCTCTGGATGACCTTGGGCCAGTCACTTTCTTAGTCCCATAAAGACAGAAATGGCAGATTACTCCTGAAAAATGTTGCCAAAAAAACTGCAGGGACTTGTCCAGGCATCCGAACAGAAAACAAAAACCCAGTTGTCCTCTTTTTATCCAACATCTTGTTCTCTGGCTACAAGAAAAGCCCTATGCACTATATTTTTATATCCCTTGTTAAGGTCACCATGATTTTTTATTGAATTAACCCCACTGTCTCTATTCACACAAAGGGATCACCGACTGTATAATACCCAAAAGCAGGTCTGCGGTTCCTTGTCTCTTGGCAAACGTTTTTGAAAGCTTTCTTCCCATTCTTCGAAAACCATTGTTTATGGCTTAGCGTAAGACCCCAGACAACCGCGATTTATTCATGGTTTCCTGCAACGTCCGAATCCTGCTGATGCGTGCCTCTGGCAGCCTCCCCCTCCCCAATCTTGCGGCAGAAGATCAGGATGGACAGCACACGCGGGGGATTTTCCTTATTCAGTCTTCCGAGCAAACCAAGAGAGCCAGAAAAAGGATCCCCACCCCGGAGTGACTTCTGCCGTCATCTGCAGGAAGACAAGCCTAAGCGGGCTGCAAAAAAAAACAAAAACTCCCCCCCCCCCAAAAAAAAACAGAAATCGGAAGAATTCAGGACCAGGACACGGGAACGGCCAATTCACACATGATTCCGCCCCCAGAAGTGTCGAGCGCAACCTCCCGGCCGCGAGGCGCGTGCGCGCTGCCTCCCTATGAGGGAGGCGAGAACATGGCGGAAGCGGAGTGAAGGGTTCGTACGCCGAGCGGGTGCGTTTCCTTTCGTGCGGGGGAGCGGCCGCCCGACGCGGGAGGGGCTCCTGGCCGGCAGGGAGAGTGGGCTGGCGCAGACCGATCCTCGACGCAACCAGCCGCAGGGATGGCAGGCCGGCCGGGCAGAGGAAGCCACTGGGCCCGGGCTTCTCTCGCCCCTCTTTCCCCAACCTGGCGCCCTCCAGGGGTGCGCGCGCATTCCTTGTCTCTGCGGACTCGGGAGTTGTTACCTAGGCGCCGATCTGGAGAAGGTTGCATTGGTTCAGCCTTGCGTGAAGGGTGAACCCCAGGCCAGAGGTTGGCCCGGGTAATCACACGCGTAGAAAGAGCTATGCCTTGAACCGCGTTTTTTTGTTTTCCTTGTACTCAGTCTCCTTTCTTAAAGGCGCTGACAACAACTGCTGTGCAAAGTCTAGTATTGGGGGCCAAAAATGAAAGTTGCCCTTTTTTTTTAACGGCCTCATGTGGAATGACCTAGCCAGACAAAGCAGGATGTCCTGGGAGAGGGAGAGAGGGGGGGGGAATCTGCATACACCTATCTATGTGCACCTCTTTACCTGAATTGCTAGGTTGATTTGATTTGATTCCTTTTCCTGGAATCAAAATGAAGTGTGTGCTGGCTAAAAACTTGAAATTCGTGTTGGGCTCATTCTCTAAATCTCACTGATGGGATGAAGAAGCAGCTGTTAAATTTATATTTGCTGCGGCTGGTCATGAAGTTAAATTGTTCGCTTGCTGGCTTTTCTACGATCCCATTAGGTTTAAATAACTATTGGTGTAACAATGTGAATGAAAAAGAAATCTTGTGGCACCCTAAATACCATTCATTGTTACTGTTATTGTCTGTTAAATTTGTAGGCTGCTGACTCTCACTATCTTAATAACACCCAAGATCTTTTAAGATGCCACAGTGCTATCTCTCTCTCTGAGATTATGGTGTATTTGTGAGCAGGACATAACTACTCCTCCTCACTGAGTTTAATAATATTTCCTCCCAGGTAAACTATAGACCAATGTTGCTCAACCTTGGCAGCTTGAAGATATGTGGAACTTCAATTCCCAGAATTCCCTAGCCAGCAAAGATGCCAATGCCATATGTTATTGAGATGGTAGGAGTCAGCAGCCTTCAGTTCTAGAGTTGAAGTCCACACATCTGCAAGCTGCCAAGGTTGAGAAATTGCCAGTATAGAGGACACCAATAGAGAAGCCCCACTACTGTATTTCTGGATTGCAAAATTTTGCATGAGGGTAGAGAGGGTTTTGCAGAACAGATATGATCTGCTAGCAGCAGGTAACCTGCAATGTTCCTGCTATTATTGGACTTAATTTCCTGCCATGCCTGATCATTTGATATGATGGCTAGGCTGGTGAAATTTAGAGCCTGACATTATCATTTGGATGGCTGTATGAGGCCTGCTCATGTATAGATAGGGTTGCAGCCTAACCCAGATTATGAAAAAATTACAACTTCAATTCCTGTCTATAATGTGGGAGATATAATTTTTACTCAATTTACAAGAGTTTTAGTAAGGATGGAAAATACAGTAGTGCTGGTGAAGTGTTTCTGAACCCTTAAAAGTATCCAAATGTTAAATATGATTATGTAAAAATGACTAGATAGGTGGCAATCTGACAAATGATAATGATAAAACAGGTGTCTCAATTGTTTTAACAATAGCTGCTAATTTTTGCAATTCACAGGTAAAGCAGCATGTGCCATCTGGAATAAAAGTTGCATTTTCTCTAAAATGTTGTGAAAGGACAGTTTTTGATTTCATAAGAGTTATCTGAAAGTGTTTGATATTATAATATTCCTGTTTCAGGTAGTTCATTTTGCATAGTACAATACACAGGAGAAATGTATCAGCTAAATGCCCATGATATAAAGGTCAGTGTGATGTAGATACAATTGTTAGTCTTACATTGTAATCCCATGCACACTTCTTTGAAAGTAAGCAATATTAAACACAGCAGGGTTTAATTCTGAGTACATTTGCACAGTTTGTGCTGTTAAACTTGGAGGTCTGAGTTCAAATTACAGCTCAAACATACATTTTAATTAACTTGCTAAATGTGGGCCATTTGTTTTCGTTCCCTTGAAAATAAAACACTACATGTGCAGTCTTGAGTATAGTTTGTTCCCAAGGCAAAACGTATTTGCCATTAAATTGTACTAATATGTCTGGCATACTTTTGCCTCAGCTGTGCAAAATTTTCAGGGGCAACTTCATAGAAAACAAAAGCATGAATAAGTTATGATTGGCAACAGCAGAGCATCTACAACAGAAAAGAAACATCACTGTTTTCAGTCCTAAAATAGTCACTCTTTATTTTTTAAAGTATTTCTGCAACGGTATTTTGAGATAGACTATTATTCTGGCTCTCTAGTATGAAACTTCAGGCATGAGATTTGGACTTGCATTACTGAATGTTGTAGAATTTGATCTTGTTTTCTATACAGAATCATACCGACATGTATGTTTCCTTTTAGAGTCTATCTAGGTAGAAGAAAATGGTATTCATTTGAATGACATGGTTTTTTTTTTAATATTTTGTACAGAGGCAGAATCATTCCACAACTATGGAGAATGAATCAAGCACAACTTCTTCCACAAGCACAACAACCATTGCTACTACATCTTCCCCCTCCCGTACACAACCACCCCAGATATCTGTCTACAGTGGCTCAGATCGACATGCTGTGCAGGTATTTAACTGAGGAAACGCTGATAATATGCATTACAATTGAAAATCATTGCTAAAAAGATTCTGATTAAATGCAGCTTCTATGATTTCAATAATATCTCAGCCATTCCTCCTGCTTGTTCCCCCCCCCCCCTTTTGCAAGTAGTGTAGAGTTCTGGAGAGATTAAATGCTTGCAAACTATTTTGGAAAGTGTGCTGTTTTAAGAATATTTGTGTTCTGATCCACATAGCAATCTAGGAACTATTAGTTCAATTAATTAAAAGCATAGCCATAGACCAAATGAAGTCCTTTGCTATCCTTTATCAGAATCAGCATCATTTAGCAGCAGGGGCAGCTATAGGGAGAAGTGGGATGATTAAAAAAAGTCAGGATAGTGGCTGTGAATATAAGTACAAAATAGGGTAGGGTTTCTTTTGGATGGTTGTGGCCATTGTCTTAACTTTTTTGACTCCATGTGGATGCCTCTGTTTACCAGAGAAAATAAGGAGTAAGTAGCATAGCTTTTAAAAAACCCATCATACCTTTCTTTCATCCTTTCCTATCTCATACTTTCTTTCTATTTTTTTTAATGTTCTACTTCTATCTCATTCCTTCTCTTAATTCTTTTCAGGGTCCTCTGATCCTAATTTTACAGCTGGTAACCTATTTGGTTCATATAGAATCAAGATTTTTGGAAGTTATTTAATACAGTTTATTTCTATTTGGCAAGTAAATGCTTGATGGTTACAATACTGTGGTGTTGTGTGGAATGTTAGTAAAAACAGTCTTTTGCAACCTGATACCTTCCAGGTGGGTTAGATCTAGGATTCTTAGCCAGGGTAGCCTAAGGCTGAGAATTCTTGGAATGGCAACTCCCATGCCTTACTAATGAGGACTGGGGGAAAGCCATTTAAGATATGCAGTTTCAATTATTTGAGAGAATCCATGTTTATGAAAGTTCATCTGAGGGCACTAGCACCAAGAATTTGGCCCTTACTGAGCAGTGGAGCTAATATTATTTTGTCTGAACTGACCAGAATCTCACATGGCAAAATTTTGCCCTTTCAGATGCTGAAACCCCTTGAAAGCCTGGGGATGGGCTAAAATCCTATTGGTGGGAATTCCCACCAATCCTTGCTTCCCAGCTGTTTGACATTCCCCACCCCCTAGACCAGGGGTGTCAAACTGCCGACCTGCGGGCCGGATGCACCATGCCAAAACCGTGCCCACCCCAGCTCTAACAATGGGGGAAAAGTTGTGATACATCACGACACATCACGTGACATTGCGAGTTTGACACCCCTGCCCTAGACCATTGCTTTTCAGACTTGCTGCCTGGGGAATTCTAAGAGTTGAGATCCACACTTCTTAAAGTTGCCAAGCTTGGAAAACACAGTCCTAGACACATCAGGCAAGACACATTGTGTTGTGGTGGTCCTGTACAGATTTGGGGGCTTCTAATTGGTCAATGATAAGTCAGGCTACAGGGGAAGGACATAGATCATCAGTGGGAGATTGACCTTGGGATTCCATCAGTGGTCCTAAAGGGAACATGTTTGGATGTAACTAAAATACTGTTTTGTGACTGTTTTGGAGATAAACGTGGGCTGTTAACAAAACTATACCTGAGGGTTTGGGGGAACGGTAGATATAGAATAAAACAGAATTCTTTTTGGCCAAGTGTGATTGGACACACAAGGGATTTCTCTTTGCTGCATAAGCTCTCAGTGTACATACAAACAACAAAGTGATAGGTCATAGATCATAAATCATAGTTATAGTCATTAATCATAAAATGCAAACAAGTGATAAATCATAAGATACCAATAGGAGAAGATACTAGGAAAGATGAGAAGATGAGAAATGAAAAGGTGAGAATGATGAGAAGGACAATAGCAATACAGCCCACTACATGGGTAAATATCTTTGGGCCTGAGTGCTGTGGGAATTAGGTGTTCAGCAAAGTGATGGCACGGGAGTGGGGGCGAGGGACTATCTTTGTGTCTACTTGTTTTGGTATGCAATGCCCTATAGTGGCATCCTGAGGGAAGAAGTTGAAACAGGATATGGAGGGTCTGTAGATATTTTCTCAGCCCTCTTTCTGGTTCGTGCAATATACAATCAATATAGTTGATTGATTTTAAGCATTGGCATCTGATAGGATAGTCCAGACCAAAACAACATGTGCTTGACCTTGTGACACGGGAACTGCACAATGGCTCCACTTGTTATAGATATCTTGTGAGTCTGAGCTCAAAAACAACGTTGGACAATTCAGACAGAGTCCAGTTCTTTAATTCCTTACGCATAGCGAACAGAATTTTACAAGACCAAACTCTTACTGCTTCCAGCCTAACAGATATATTCAGAGAGATTCTAGAGAGTGGCTATTGTAACTCTCTTCCTCTGGTTCCTTTCCAGACTGTGTTGCCTGTTGTCTCCCTTCCCTTTCTGAAATGTGCTTCCTTCTTCTTGTGAGAAACTGCCATTTCACCACCCACAACTCCCCCTCCACGGATGTCATCCCTCACATATCTCTTCCATATATTCTGATTCTGGACATGGAAGCCTGTGTTCATAGAGCTAGCAGAGAACTCAGTGTTCAGATATGGGTTGCTCAAGGGGACTAAAATGTTCCTGGTTACAAAGGCAATGGTGTAGTTCCTTAGAAGTGCAGGCTATGCTAGTGCTTAAATGGCTGTTATGATAGGACTGATCTTTCCCCATCTCTTGTTCTTGCCGTGGTTACCACTACTCAAAACCCCACAGGTCATTCAGCAGGCCTTGCATCGTCCCCCCAGCTCAGCTGCACAGTACCTTCAGCAGATGTATGCAGCTCAGCAGCAGCATCTAATGTTACAAACTGCAGCTTTACAACAGCAACATTTGAGCAGTACTCCGTTCCAGAGTTTGGCCAGTGTTCCACAGGTAAGACTGGAGTAAATTGGAAAATAAAAATCAGGAAC